AAAGTAATCATTCAAAGAAACAGCACAGAATTTTCATATTCCTCACAGTTCTGCAAATGCAGCCACCTTCCTGAATTCAGAGGCTTCACGCATATGGTAAGGCTGTTGTTTTCCAGCAGTCTCTCTGCCACTTACTGACACAAGCTCCTCAGGAGTAAAATTCTGCTGAAATACTCAATCTCTCTTTGCCTGCTTCAACATCTCAGAAGCCAACCCTTTTTGAGAGGGATTTCAAAATGGAAAACTGTCCTTCTGAATCAAGATCTGACCAATCAGTCCTCCACATAATGTTCAGAGCCCAGCAGAAAGCTGCCTCAGTGGAAGCAGAAACTGGAAACAGAGAACTACTTTCCTTATGCATGTATCTCTTCCTTTAGTATTCTTTGAAATACTTAGTTAAAAATTATCATCTTGCTTATAAATTAAGCATATTTTTAAAGTGTAGGGTTGTGTGTTTTTTCTTTCAGAAACTGAATTTCCTCCCTTCTGTAAAAATTCATAAAATTTTTGAGGGAATGGGATACTGAGAAGCAATGTTCCAATGTAAAGTGAAGACTGCTCTGGCCTGTACTCAGCTCTCTCATGAATTGGTGTTTAATGTTCAGTAGCCTCCAATGTAAACTTTATCATATGGGTGCAAAGCAGCATATCAGCACACAGTACAGATGCATTCCATGAACTCAGTTTGTTTCAGAATCTTGAAAAAATTCCATAGCTGAGACTGCTACTTACACCACAAATCAGCTAGGCACGGCAACCCCCAAGAGTGTGCAAGCACTGGTTACTGTTGCACAGCCTGCTATTGTATCACAGCACATGAAAAATGGACACAGACAACAGTCATTTTTTACAAGTGTACAAAACATTCAAATCTGCTTGAACACAGAGATTTTGTAGAACAGGATCAGAGAACTAAAGTTGCTACTCTACACATCCCAAACAAAAGTAGCTCAGCAACACAGTGGTACCATAATTGCACTGGAGGCCCTGTCAGAAAATTATTGAATAGCTAAAGCATTAGGTATTTGAAAATTTATTATATTTTCTGACCAAACTGGCAACTGCAGAGGGGTTGGGACTATATTACAGTGTAATAAAAACCTCATAAAACATTTAAACAAACTCACACATCTGCAGTGAGATGGGAGGTATTATGTAATGTAAGTCATTGCTAAAGTCACCTCTCACCCCACTAGCTGCTGCAGGAGCAATGTTAGGTATAAAGTGCCTCTGTGGTTTCTCACTGTCTCACCCCCCACCCCTAATACACACATGTATTCTCATGCATGGATGTTATTTACAAGTGACACCATGGATTTGGGGGTGGTTTGGTGCTTTTTTTCAAAAAAAAAAAAAGGTCAAAAATAAAAATAATAATAATAATAATAAAGAAAAAAGAACAAACCTGGAATGCTTTCAGTTTCAAACAAACAAGTGTAGAGGAAAAAAAGATCTGATTCTCATTTTATCTTCCTCCCCATACTAAAGAAGTTTTGGATACAGGTCTTTTCTTTAACTCATATCTAATGTCCTCCGGAGGATTTCACTGGATTTAATAAAAAGTATCTGTGGACAAATTCTTGACCTACATCTTAGGCTGGCATCCCTGTTGTGTTTGTTCTTAGAAAATTTAACAACAGATCTACAGCATTACTTTTGCAGTTCGCCAGAAAACTTATGTCTCAATTATATGCAAATGTAGATGATAATGTGTGAGGTAGGATCCACAATTGCACTCAAGGGACTACCTCAAAACCAGTCCAACAATCAACGCTCCTTCGTCCAAACCACAAAAGACAATGAGAGATGAGTGCTTGGAATGCTTTAAAAAATTATGGCTGCCAAATTGTTTGAAGGCAGTCAGGAATGTATACTGAGGATTCATTAGAGTTCCTTCCTGGCTGCTCTCTTCACTGCAGCATATTCAGATTAGCTCCCAGATGGCCCTTGATGAAATATTAAGTTACTGAGCTGGAAAAAACAAATACTTTCAAAGTTTCATTTCTTCCACTCTTGATTTCATACTGACCTACTCTGAGACATGATACAACACGGGATATGGAACACTCTGCAATGCAAAGCAGCATAACCACCACCTTTCATACTATTGAAAATACAGTTATTTTTGCCAGCTGGAAGCTGAGCAGAAGCTTTGTAAAACCCTGAAATCCTTTGTAGCCTGGTGGTTTATATGAACAGATATTATCTTAGAATACTGAAAACTTCCACAAACTTTATTGTTAATTCACTTATTTTCTCTCCAGCTTTCATCTTGTAACTTGAAAAATCACAGTTTCACTTACAAAGATGCAGACCACCAGCAGCAATAGCCCAAACTCTGCAAGCAGTAAAGCCACTCTGTAAGGGGCATTTTATGCTTATTCCTCCTCTCTTAGCAGCATCTTGTTAGTAAGCGTATTTCAGCACAGGATAAAGAGAAGGGGATGAATGCCTGAAAAATGCTACATATAGTGGCAATGTCTAGGCTGTTCCTGAGGAGCAATTCAAATACACCAATCTCTTCCCAACTCTGAAAACATTTTTCAGAGCTATCATGAGATAAAACAAATCAGGTATTAAAAGCACTACTGAAGACATCTAAACTCTAAATAAATTATCTGTCTCTCCCAGCTACCAGATCAATTTGAATAATATATGAAAGGATAAACTTATACAGTATTTTTGTTTAAACACCTAACTCTGGGTTACAGGAAGAAGCATTCTTTGAGAGGGACCCTGCCCTGGTGCTTGACTGGACAGTGGAATTCCCTCTTCTTTCATCTTCACCCGCTACCAATGCACAAGGCCAGAGTTCACTAACCTTTCTGATCCAGAGCGATTTGAATCCACATCTATCACTAGTGTGGCAGGTCAGAGAGAATGCAAGAATGAGGAAAGCAAAGGAAGGAAAATAACTTACTAATTTTTCATGTTAAACTGACTTACTTGAAGGAAACGTTCACTTAAGCCAGCACAGGTAAGAGAACACAATTCTTCCCCATACCCAGAAACAGGCCCAAACAACAATTTCCCCTCTTCTCTTTTTTCATATGCACACACCTGTGACTTATAATTGATAATTAAAATCAGATGTGGGCAATTCTATAGATAACCAGAGGAAATGAACCAGTGAAAACACAGGTCCTATGGGTTTTTGATAATCTAGATAACAGACTGGGCATTCTGGAGATCAAAAAAGTCTATTAGGAAACAGGATGGATTTTAAATAACATTTAAGCCTGTAAATTTACTTTGTGATCTAGGCCAGAGCTTTCACATAGATACGGGAATAACTTAAGTTCCTGGGGCTTCACAGGTCTTAGATGAGCCTAGTGAAAAACCGTTGCAGGTTTTCTGGTACATGTATCTCTTGGAATTTTGCTCACCAAAACTATTCCAAAAGGTGGAGAAATTGATCCACTGTTGTTATACCTACTTTGTAAAGTATTTCTGCCAAGTTCTAAGTTATCACAGATGAAGAAATAGCTTTAACTAAAATATCCAAAGGGCCATCAGAAATCTAGCAAAACAGCTTTTTTCTGTCATTCTTAGGTTCACCTCCCATGCATAATAAGCACACTGAGACAAGCTCATCAACTGAAAGAAACTGATATGCCATTAATAGAAACTTGATCTTTTCCGATCTTATGTAGCCAAAAGAGCATTGTCTCTTCTCCTCAGAAAAGACTGTCATAAATGACACTGGTGATAGCCTGGCCTTCAGAGTATCTTACATGAAATGTGTTAATATCACTTTTCATACTACTTTTTTAATTAATTATATCTTTGTATTGCAGAAATTATTTCAGTTTTCTCTTGGCTTATTTCCCATTTGTAACTTTTAGTAAGTGATACAGAACTTCATGTGTGCTATGCACACTCAAGTAATGCTGACGCACTTGTTGGATTAAAACTGATCAGGCATTTCATGTCAGGAAAGTAACTGATAGGGTGCAACTCACCAGCACCAATCCCTTGTCTTACTCAAAAGTTTCTCACCACAGTCCCTTCCTCAACTTATAGCAGGATCAGGGAGACGGCAGGTATTGGGAAGACAGACTTTACATTTTCTGCCATGTGGAGAATATTTTTCCCATGAAAACTACTCCTAAGTGCTCTTAATATTGTACGCCTCCTAGACAGGATGGAAAATAGTATTTGGTTTTGGTACAGAGCAGTTTCTGCACATTTTGACAAGATTGCTCACAAATGTCAAAGCTAAACACCTGCAGTGTTCTGCACGTTTTATACTTCCTGAATATTTTGACTTCAGAAAATCTGATGCCATTCTATGATCTGTACTCCTATTTCCAGAGCAATAAAACCAACTTTCTACTCAATAGCCATCTCTGCCACATGAAGTTAGTGTTGAGCGAAGGCTAGAAATTAGGTCTCTCATATTATGTCAGTATAATATATTAAATACAGACCAATGAAATTGACCTTAGTCTGTAAATAATCTATGCATCTGTAATAGTCCTTTAATAGAGTTGTGACAAATACTGATGCATTATTTAATGTTAATTTCAGTTGTACTACTGACTTTCATGGGACAGATTCTGCTCAACATGTACAAGTAACAAAAAAATGCAGTGCTGTTGTTATTTAGATTAGTATGCCAAGATTAAGCAACTTTAAGCAGAAGCTGAAGCATTCAGTATCCCAATGCCTTCTGCATGGTCCTGCAAAGTTCTTTAAAAGAATTAGACACGAAGTAATCACACAAATCCCGAAGTTTGTGTCCTGAAGCTTACAAATTTTGAATTTGTACTTAGGAATTCAGTTCTACAGAAAAAGGAGCCTGCTTGATTTCCCCTCACTATAATAACAAGAAGAAAAGGTAAACGTGTGTTTAAGGAAGATTAAAAAAACAAAAGTTTCTCAGGTTAACAGTTACAGATATACTTCCACAACTATTTTACTTTCTATTATTTTATATTACAATATAAATAACCTGAAAAATTCAATGTTTGGAAACAATGAAGAAAACACTGTAGAAAGTGCAGTTCATCAAAGATAATTATTACCTAAATCTCTTGCGTACCAGCTAGCACATCCCTTTGCCATTATTCGCATAGAATTCTTTGAGAATGGTACAATACAATGATATCTTGTTGTCTCATCTACTCCTAGAATTACTAAAAATGTTTACATTACAGCAGTTTAAAAATACCCCATGTTTTGGTCCTAACTCTTTGAGTGGAAGTGTCCTCAAGGACACTATCACTGACAAACCCCCTGATTTTGAAAGCTATTTTTTCTGCACTAGTGAAGTATAGCCTAACAGTGCCTTCAGTGTAGTCTTGCATGAAAGTAATCACTTCTCTGTACTTTTCCTATGACAAATTTATTTTTCCTATATGCTTTTACTGGCTGGTGCAGTTGGCATAGCTTGACTGACAATGAGCCAGAAAGATGTGAGTGTAGGGAAAACTCACAGCTCTCTCAGCTGTTGGCACAGTGGAGGGGGTAAGAGCATAACAGAAGTGATGCATTCAAGAACAACCCTGTGAGTTAGTATCACCTATCTGCCAGCTTATGAACATTACTGGCAGTGCACATAAATGCAGATTATTCACACCCTTGTAAACGAGGAGGTGTTGGAAACTAACTGCACAGGAAAATGTAACAAAATGTTGTATGTATTCATCAACTGCAGGAGCAAGTGAGCACTGCTCTTTGATCCCAGGAATTTAAAAAGGTGAAGTAAGTCAATTTGCAAACTAAAATGCATGCTGAATCGTGCTTAAACCAAAAACATTTGTTAAGGATGTTAACAGCACTTCCAATGTTTTACTGTCTATTAATACCATAATAGAATTGTAGCCCGACCATTACACCAATCTCATGCATTCTTATCACTTGGGAGACCATCTCCGAATCACAAAACTACAGTTGTGCCTTGTGGAGAGCATCTTAATTCCATCTACCTACACTGAAGGTTATATAATGCCAAAGGAAATACCAAAGCTGGTGGTACTAAATAATATACTCATATGACAACAACTCACCCTAAACTTCCAGTTCACTACTTGCTGGGCATTTTACTATTTTAAGGCATTTGAAGGTATCATTACCTACATTTTTTGAGTTTTAAGAAAACATTTAAGGAAATTTTGTGAATTTTCATGTGTGCATATGAAGCAGAAATCACAAAATATTTCTCCACTAAACCAGTTCCTCTGCTTTCTAAACAAATCTTACTTATGCACTTGCCTCTAGAAAAGTAACAGAAAAACCTCAGGGGTTCCGAAAACACTCATAAAAGAATTATTCTCATACTTTTTACAAAAGTGGGGGAAACCCCATTGTCAGATGAAACAAAAGTAGTTTTGAATCAAGGAAGGTGAATAAGAATACACCCATGATTTTTACGATTTAAGAATGCCCAGCAGATATGATAATGACACAGGGCCATGTTATAGGAGATTGCACAAACATACAAACAAGATGAGCTAATTATCCAGCTCAACAAAGGTCCATAAAGTTAAAGACATCCTTTTGGCTTCAGTGGAGCTCAGTAAGCAATAAAATCCAAGAGACAGAAAAAGCATACTGCAAGCAGAAGATACAAGTCAAGAATTTATCTCAGTAAATGCTGAAGTAGACATGGACACTGGAATACACGCATTAAGACTGAATGCAGTTTCCTTCTGGAATCACTGATGACAAACCAAGATGAGTATGATGCTGACTAGCCTCAGTTTAGTTGCAAGCAGCACTCGCTGAAACCTGCATTTAATACAGTATATTTAAGATCCAGTACTGTATGTGGTTGAAAAGAAACAGTAGGAAGGAACGTAAAGGATCTTCTGCAAATATAGTCAAGTAGATACCAAAGCTAGAAGTGGAACAGCGTTAGCAACTACACTACTTACAATATTTTTGAGAAACGGGAAATGACAAGTAGTTCTATGGCAAAGAGTTTATTTTAATGGAACAGCAGTAAAAGAAATGACACAGTGGAAGCATTTTGTGTGGTCCTGTTCATATTTTCCCTGGATGGACAGAGTGCTTTATTCCACCATAAGCTTTTATTAACAGCCAAATCCACCAAAATGTGATTTTAAGCTGAAAATATATACATATATAAATTGTTTATTATTTAAATTTCAAAACAAGCATAGCATTCAGACTACAAACTAGGTTCTTGGCAATTTTGTACAACATAACACTATGAAGGATATATATCAGTCTAAATATTTACTCAGTGTACTGTGATGAGAAAACTGTTAGGATCTTCCCTCCCCACCCCTTTCTTAAACATACTTCTCGTTAAAAGTTTGCAGAGAGATGCAGTGCTTAATTCTGAAATCACAGTGTTTCTACTCTGTTGGCATTACATTCTAAGCAAATTTTGCCAACAGCCAAGCATTCACAAGACCCTAACCTGCTGAAGAAAGTACAAATGGCAGCATCAAGTAAAAACACAAGGTCCATTTATTTCAACAGCCCGTCCTCAATAGGAGCCCTTGGGAAGTACCCAACAGGTCCTTTGATATTTTCAAGCACTTTCTAGTGCTTTGGATGATGCTCTGAACAGCATCCCCCCCTCCACTTCCTTCTTTTTCCATCTTTGATACTTTGAAGCAGACACCCCTTCCTTTGATCACATTTATTGTCCCCTGTAGTGAGTTTGTTTCTCCAAGCTTCCTCCTTTCCCAAACAAAAGTTCTTTGGTCTTCCTAGGGGCTTGACACCATCCTGTTCCTAAAAAGGAACTGACATAGAACAATGTCAGCATGAAAATGCCTAGGGAAGAGTGTAAGAAAGAGGACAAGCATGTAATAGTATTTCACCTAGTACTACAGAAATTTCCAGCAACTTAAGGCCTGTATCTTCTGTATTTCATGATCTTCAGTGGATTGTTCTCCCGTTAATTTGTTCAGATATGCAAGCTCTAGATGTCTACAACATGCTGCAGCCAGAAGCTAAACAGCTTAAATACAGCTTTGAGAACAATATTCTTTCATTTATTTCCAACTTCTCATCTGCCTATATAACTCAATATCCTCTTATTCTTGTACTGAAAGAGACCCTGGGCCAGGATATAAATTAATCCGTACTTACTCCATGGTATTCATGATTTTAATCAGTTATTTGACAGTGCTCACTTTTCAGCAGACTTTTTGTAACAGGCATGTGAAACAAGAAATTGCATTCAATGAAGAGATCGGGATAGAGAAGCACTACCTCAAAAAAACTCACCCCTACAGATGGTAATAGGCACTAACATGAAAGAGATGGGAAAAGACTTTGTATGGCTTAATTATCTTCCAGGGTGAAGTGATTATTTTTATTTTTTGTTGGGTTACTTTCATTTTGGCTTGAGTGCTTCAGGACCACCAGAGCACAAAAAGGCTCCGTGTGATCAGATTTGTCTTTGTCAAGTAATTCCTTGCCTTCAGAAGTGCTTTCAGATTTAGGAGGTTCAGACTTCAGGAACTCCTGATAGTTCTGATGTGTGGCATTAATTCTGGCATTCAAAGGCCAGATAAAGTACCTGAGGTTTGTACTGAGACAATAAAGATGGTTGGTACATCTCTCTGGCAAAAAGAACCTTGCATGACTGAAGATACTGGCTTTTAAACAGTTTAATAGACTGGGCAAATAAGAGCCATACACCAGGACTCAAGAATTATTAGCCCAAAAAAGCCTGCTGTAATGAAGGTAAGCCTGCATTGAAACCCAGTGAAAAGCTAGGAGGAAAGAAAGAAGTCTAGTAATGACAGAGCTTGAAAAACAAGAGTATAAGTCTGGTTCACATAAGCACTTAAGGAGAACTGGGCAGCAGGAGTGTACTTTGCTGCTTTTATTACCACACAGACTGCACGCTAGGGAAGCAGATTCACAGCATTGTGCTACAGACAGTGGTAGGTTAAAACTGTAAGAGAGCTAGCTCTGTGACAACGCTACTCTAGCACAAATCCCTGGTGTAAGCTATAAACAAGTATAAAAGAACTGAGGTATTTCCAATAATATGCCTCTGACAGACAATACTTTTATAGAAAGCTACTTCAACTAGCCCGGGGAACAAGATCAATTATCTTTAAAATTCTTTGACTCTATAAACCCCAAATAAAAACAGCTCTTCTACTCTACTGAAGCTTAGCTAGTTGCTGCAGAGAACAAATTTTAAACCAGATGGGGAGGTCCACACAAAGTGACAAAGCACATTGCCCAGAAGACAGTATTTAGTGAAATGTGAAACATTACCCGGGGTTAATTCCCTCACAAATCTCTTCCGAGTTTCTCAAAACTTAGCCAAATTGCAACACTTTTAGCTGAAACTTCCCACAGCAGCCATCTGCTTTAGGCTGAATTTATGGCTGAAATGGGAAGATCAGGGAATTCAGAGGGGAAACTGAGGAAACAGGTATTGGGTGAGGAAAGTTATGACTGAACAGGATACAAAATGCTGTAACAGTGAATCTGGGAAAGGGACAGAGACAGATGAGAGCTCTGTGGAACAAGAATGGGAGTGAGGGGATAACCAAAGGCTAGGGTGGGAAAGCATTCACACTTGGAGATGAGTTTGGGCCCGATGTAAAGACTGTGGAGGAAACAAGCACTGCAAAGGGGCGAGGCAGGGTCCATAGATGACAACTTCTAGAATAAGATATTTAGGGCTGCCACCAGAAGCCAGAGAAATGGACTAAGTGAACTACACTGGTTACAATTCAAAGATGTTTTTATTTAAAAGGGCGAACTCTTTAGTGGAATAGAATGGATGATGCAAGCATATCTCTGCCTTCAGCAACAATAAGTACTTCAGAAAATGTGAACCAGGGATTTCATACTAAATCCTCCTTATCTTCATCAAGGACTGTAGAGATAAAACAAGGGACAATTGGTTCAAGCTTAAACAAGGGAGATTTAGGTTAGATACAATGAAGAAATTCTTTACTGTGAGAATGGTGAGGCACTGGAACAGGTTGCCCAAGGAAGCAATTCCTAACTCATTCAAAAGCCAATTATAGTTTATATAAATTGTGTTTGTAAGTCAGCTTGTCTTGCCTGATGAGAGAATGTGGAATCACACTGTTAGCTTAGCTGTCATATCTAAGTCACCACCGGGCTTCCCTGAGGATGGGGCAAGATAACCAGTCAACAGTGTGATGATGGTAGACATCTTCAGCACTAGAACTGAATTTATAGCCATAAACTGTCTCAAAACTTAAGTGCTGCAGAGCTCTGATGCTCTTATCTTGCACAAGGAATTTTTACCTTCCAATTTGAAAAGATTTCAACAAATGATACACTCAATGCTATACTGCATGTGTCTGGAATGCACTCCTAAAGGAGTTTTGTATACTGAAAGCAGCATTTTAGAAAAATGTTCAAAACTGCTCCAGGTCAGCCTTTTTTTTATCTACATAACTGGGAAGTCACTGATCCCATTTAATTTATTTGAATTAAAGTATTAAATATAGGCTTAACTGCACTCTACTATAATACTGGTAATTCACTTCAGTGGGATCAGCGTTCAGGTATTTAATGCTTTCAGTAATCCCAAACTTACTCTCATTTCATATGTAATTATGTCTGGATTACATCCTCCAGCAGTATCTAGTATTAGCATCATTTTCATTACCTGCGTTCCCCCCCCCC